TTCTTGAACTTGCTACCATGAGCTTATGTTGGCAGCACTGTATAAACAACTTGGTTTTATAACCTTGGCATATCAGTGTCTCACAGCTGTGTTCATGTTGATTTGCGGTGGTGTCTTGCTAAGTAGAATTCATTATTGTTATTGTGTGGTTTTGTGGCCATCTTGAGAATGTCAGAGCTGCAATTAGAGCAATGAACAAACATTAAATTTCTGATTAAACTTGGCAAGAATGGAAGTGAAATCGGGGACATTTAATCGAAGCTTATGGGGATAATGCCATGAAGAAAATGGCAGTGTACAAATGGATTAAACATTTTTCTGAGGGGAGAGAAAGTGTCACTGATGAAGAGAGATCAGGGCATCCAGTAATGGGCAGAACTGACGAAAACATTGCGGAAATTTGTCAAATTGTGCGTAAAACTTGTGAGCTGACTGAGAAGTATGGCAGGCCAAGGAAACATCCATAGAGATACAGGAAAATCTTAACTGAAAAAAGTGAGAAAACTGTGTACAAAATGGTTTTGAAGGCACTCAAAGAGCTCACACAGCTCTGTCTGTGAGGGAGTTTTTAGTCAGTAAACAATTAACTATATTGGAATACCCTCCCTACTTACCTGATCTGGTCCCCAAGGACTTTTTTCTTTACCCCGAGGTAAAGGAAATATTGAAAGGAAGACATTTTGATGATATTCAGGGCATCAAGGGTAAGGTAATGTGACAACAGCTCTGATGGCCATTCCAGAGAAAGAGTTCCAAAATTGCCATGAAGGGTAGACTAGGCACTGGGGTCAGTGTATAGCTTTCCAAGGGGAGCACTTTGAAGGTGACCATATTGTTATTCAGCAGTGAGATATGTAGCATTTTTTTCTTGGATGAGTTCATGAACTTAACTATCTGACTTCATAGATGTTTTTTTGGGGCACCGTCTGTATATTTCTCACCTATTAGTATATATAATTTGGGTAATCCTACGAGTTCTATAGAACTAATTTCCACATAGGAATTGTATCAAGTTTAGACGCATTTAAAAAAAAAATTCAAAGTTAAAAAGAATTTTGTTCTATTTTATAAATTTCAATATTAAACAATAAAAAAATAGAGATCAAATGACTCTTAAGGTCATTAAGACACAATGAATCAGTAGAATTTTTCTTTTCTTCTGGGACACCATATATAAAATCAACAGCCTACCATGATTGCTGCTGCAATCATTGGTCTTCAGACCTCCTCATGGCTCAAGGCAGGCAGAGGTATAAACTTTACCTCCACTGCCAGGGACCCTCTGCTAACAGGGGCTTCTGACCCTGAATCACTGTGCCATTAATTCAGCAATTCATCATGTATTGTCTGAAAGTTTCTCTTATTTTGTTAAATTTTAAACTAAATATTATATTATCACTTATTTGTTTTTCAGCCCTTGAAAGGCCTGACAATATCTTATCATTTTGGATCTCCCACAGGCTCTACACAGGCCCTCGTATTATTTGATTTTTTTTCCCCTTTGATGTGAAAGAGCAATGCTCAGTGTTCTTTTAACATGGTTTTTGCAATTGGAGTTGTAAAAGTAAACACTGCTTTATGCCATCTGTTTAAAAGCTCTTAGCTTTTCCAAATACAGACAGTATCTAAATTGTAAATGGGCCTTTTCCAAAAGTTATTTCATATGTTGATTTTTGGAATTTTGTAAAAATAACATACATATTGGCTGTTTCCAAATCAAACTACACAAGAGCTATTCAGCCCATCACTTATGTAAAGTAAAATGATCCTTTAAACCACTATAGAACCAAATGTTCACATATAATATAGTTTCCACGGGAAAGTACAAATACGCAGATGTATGTGTATCCCACCCCCACCACCAAGACTGTCTACACTGCCCACTGTGTTATGGACAGGGACACTCCTCTCTTCGTTTCCCTAGCTTCCCAATTCTGGATCTAGATGCCACCAGAATAGTCTATGAGGTTAGGGGGAACTGAATTCTTAGAGTGCTAGTCAATATGTTTGCTTGGGCTCAAAGAAAGCAAAGGTGCCAAAAAAATCAGAGGTGACAAAAGTGACAGGGAATTATGAGAGCCTCCTGGGGACTTCCAAATGTTGTGGTGGGGAGGGCCTGCAAGGTGACACTTCCTTCTGTTCTCTCCCCTTGCTACCTCGTTGTGGAGAAGAATGAGCTATGGAATTCCTACAGTGGTAACAAGATGGAATTGCCCCGTTTGCCTTGCCCCTTTGGCTTTAAGACCTATGATGGAGGGTGCTGAGAATCAGAGGAGGGACTAGGGGATGGCCTAATAGAATAGAAGGAAAGAATTTTTTCCTGTAAAGCCCCTACCCTGCTTTCCCTTCACACTGTGATATGATGAGGTGGGTGGGAGAAATGCATTTCAGAGACTGAATTGGAAACTGGAAATTCTAAATATCTGCATGTTGGTAGCAGCAAGGAGGACAGAAAGAAGAGAGGAAGAGAAAATGTTAGCAGAGGAGGGGAGTCACATGTAAAGAATGGATCTATACTTTGCCTTGGAAGGCAAGGAAGGCCTAGCACAAACGCTATTTATTTACCAAGAAGATATGTTTTAAAGTGCATATCATGGAATCCAGATGTGGAGTTTTTAGTGGGTAACTCTACTTTGTACATGTCAACTTGATAATCTGTTAAGTATAAGGAGGCCTCGGAGAATCTTCGGTTTCTCTTCATTACAGGTGGCTGAAGGACAGGCCAGACTGCCCCAGCTAAATCCCTCTCTGGAGCTCAGTTCCAACAATTGCCTCTTTTATCTACCTCCCTCTCATTAGTCCCTATAAGGTGTGAAAACTGGGTCTGCCTTCAGATCTCCAGGAAGTGTGAAAGGAGAACAGGAGTCTTGAGGGGACTGGAGGGGGATGGAGGGGAGCGAGTCCCAGGAAGCCAGCCACCAACCATCCCAAGATGAGCCTTCCCGCTTCCCTGGCCATTGAGGGTGCAGATACCCCCTTCCTATACCTACCACACCTAGGAAGAAGAGGGCTGCTTGCTCCTACAGTCGCCACCCAGTATTTCAGGAATCTGTGATTGGTGAACTCTGTCAGCTCCTAGTAAGACAAGCAAATAAGCTGGCCTGAAAGGTTTTTTTTTTTTCTCCTGAGACAGACTTTGTTACTCTGACCAGTGAGCAATGGTATCATCATACCTCACTGTAATCTTAAACTCCTGGGCTTACATGATTCCCCTCCTTCAGCCTCCAGAGTAGGAGACTACAGGTTCATACATGCCACCAAGCTCAGCTAATTTATCTATTGTTTTGTAGCAATTTGGTCTCACTCTTGTTCAGTCTGGTCTTGACCTCCTGATCTCAAGCTATCCTCTCGCCTTGGCCTCCCAGAGTGTTCACAAGTACAGTTTCAACCATGCTTTTGGAACAAGAAAAGAATTAATAAAAAGCAAAATAATGGATAAAAACATCTTGAATTAAGATTTGACAAATAACATCTTTGGATTCCTAATACCATTCCTTTAACCTAATTCTCTCTGAAGTAAAATCAAATAGTTCATGAAAAGGAGTGAAAAATAAAATCCAATAAAATGAATCACAAATAGTAAAGATGCATTATTTAAAGCTGGGTGTAAGAAATTAATTCAGTTTGTCATTGAAACCTAGGTTTTAACAATAAACCTTTACATTTTGTTCAAGTTTTCTTTAAAGTACGTTATGGAACAGTATTCCTCCCTCACAATGAAACATGATCACGCCAGAAACTAAAATATTACATTCTTTATGGGCTTTGTTTTCCTTGTTTAACTTTAGTGGCACGGTCAGGAACAGTTGAAAGCGGAAATTCTATAACATGCAGCTCCGGTGATTTTTTTTTTTTTTTTTTAAATTCTAAGCCAACTTTTTTGGGAGGACCCGAGGGTGGGAGGTGTGCAACACCCAGAGTGTTGAAAAGGCCCTACTAAGCTAAGGGCAAATGAATAGGCTCAACTCCAGTCCCCTTGCCCTGTAAAAAACAAGGCAGGTGTCACGGGGATGGACTTTCTGGATAGGATGGAGACAGGGACGGATGAAGTCTTCTCTGGTTAGAGAGGAAATTTGGTATTAAGAGGACCTCGCTGGATCCCAATAATAACCAAACAACTGGTGTTGTCCAGGGCCGCGGGTGGAAAGTGGGAGGCAGGAAGTAGAAAGGCTCAAGCTCCTTTCCCCGGGTCGGGTCGGTCCAGGAATTTAATTTCAGCCAATGTTTATTGGGGCACAGGGTGTTAAGCCCGGGGATCTCACGCTGAATAAAACGTGGTCTTGTCCTTGAAGAGCTCGCAGTTCCGTGAAAGGGCTTTATTATCCCGCGTGGGCTTTGATAACTTTTATCCTGGGAGCTGTCAAGGCAGAGTTACATCTAGATCCATCCACACTTTTCTAAAGATTTCAAAACAGAGAAAAGAAGATCCGGGACAAGGGTAGAGGAGAGATGGCAGTAGGGACCGGTGCCAGAGTCGGGAAATGCCAGACTTGGTGTTGCCTGTTGGCCAGGGGCAGCCAAGATCGTCCCCCGCGTTGGCACCCTCCGGCTGGCTCCGGCCGGGAGCGGACGACAGTTCGGCAGCTGGCCCCGCGGGGCAGGCTGACAGCAGCGGCCGGGCCGGGCCGGGCGGAGGTCCCGCTCCGGGAGACACTACGCGGCCGGCGCCCACAGCCAGGGGGCAGAGCTCCGGGCTCGCGCCGCCGCCCGCTACCTGGGGCTCGGGTCCCGCCGC